ATTGAAGCACAATACTATAAATCGATAGATTCAAAAACTCGATAATCGAGTTTTTGTTTGATTTTGCCGAGTACTAAATACTTTGTTGGCCTTCTAATTAAGGTTATATTAAATTAACAGGTACTCATTGTACAGTTTGGGCTTGTAGAATAATAAGTTTTAATAATTATTATATATAATTTTAAATATATATAATAAAACTAAATTTTAATTATTTTAGATTAATAGATTTAATAATACAACATCTCCACCTAATCATCTAATATTTCAAGCATCACCAAAGCTAAGAGGAATAAAAACTAATAATACTAGTTTGGAATTTACTCCTTTACTATATTTTATACCAATATTATAATTTATATATTCTTTAGTGTCACAAACGTATTTTTTACTATATCACAAATTTCTATTTCACAGTATTAGCTACCAAATACACAATATACAGATCAACTATCAAATACACAATGTTTAGGCCCTATTCCTATATTTGAAGAATTTTTGTAAAAAATAGAAAATGCTATTAGAGAAATTATTAAATGCTTAGATGTATTTAATCAATAAACAATTAGAATAAACTGAATACAATATTTAACAGAAAGTAATTTGATTGATTAGAGATTAAAAAAATAGGATGACAAATAGCTTTGCATGAAGTTTTTCAATATTATAAATAATTAAAGATAAATAATTTATATAGCAACAAAGTATAATTTATTAGTAAGTAAAATAATATTTACATTTCTTCACATACATTTAGTTATTTCTATATTTGTTTATTATATATACAATTTATGCTTAAATTATCTATTTTATTAATTGTGCAGATTATGTTTTGAATTTGCATAAATTTTTTACTCTATAAAATAAATCTTGTAATTAGCTACATGTAAAACTTATTATAAATATTGCAATATAGATATTCAAATTATGAAATTTAAATTCTTTATAATACTTAGTAAGTATTAAAAAATAAATTGAAAATAATAGTAAAATTAAATAATAAACTTTAATAATTTTTTAGTAAAGAATATAAAATTATAAAAAATCTATCTAGATAAAACATTATTTATTAAAACATAAGTATTGACAAAAGCTTTAGCTATATAATAATTTTTAAAAAACTAACTTTAACTATTTTAATAGGTTTAACTATAATTTTTAAACTATTCTAGCTAAAATAATGCTTCTACCAAAACATAATAGCTTTTTGAATATAATTTTTATTTAGTAATTTTCTAGCAATTATATTTGTTTATCAAAATTATTCTAAGCTATTTACAAATATTTGCTATTTGATTTTATTATTATTTATAAATATAAAAAATATTTATTAATCCAAGTATTTTAAAGAAATTATTTATAAATATTGTTTATTTATAATGTATAATTCACTATATTTATATTATATATAAAAGAAGTTTATTTATTTAAATATTAATTGTAAGTATAAAAAAAATTATTTTATATAAATAAGCTATTTAAATTGTAAATATTTATTAATAAAATAAAATTAAATATATATTATAATAATAATTTAACTATACAAATAAAAACTCTTTATTTATTTATAAATACATAGAACTACAAAAAAATTGGTTGGCAATATTAGAAGTTATTATAAATTATAGCATTATCTAAAACCAAAACACTATTTGGATTTGGATATGAATTCATTTAAGGAACCTTAATAAAATTTTATTTAGAAAGTAAATAATATTAGAAATATATCTAATATATAAATCAGATAACTTACTACTTTTGCAATTACAAATCTTCAAATTGAGTTTTTGTACAACTTTCTTTGATTACATCAATTGCAATAATTCTATCTAAAGTTAATGCAAGTAAAATTGTATAATATTTTCCTTTAATAAAAACTACTTTCTTACAAGCTTGCTTATTAGCTAAAGAATATCCATAAAGTCTTAATGATGTTTACTTATCTACTATAAACTTATCCATAAAAACAAACTGTTTAGATCTATAATTATCACTAATATCTGCAATAAATGCAGATTTAACCAATTTGCTACATTTACATACTGCCTTATTAAGCTAATAAAAATAAATAGATAAATATTAGTAAAATCTAAATAGTGCTTCCATGCACTTTGTGCCTCCCTAAGTTTTAATAGTAAACAAAGATAAAGACTAACATTAGAGTTAGAGTTGGGTTAGAGTTTTTTTAGACTAAAATTGTAAGAGAAACATTTTTTATTAGTTATACAACAGAAGTTACTCTAGTAAAATTTTGAGATATTAGCAATTTTTATAGTAAGAAGCACATAGTATATAGACACTATTTAGTCCAGTTCTAAATATTTATAAAAAAAAAATTAAAAAAAATATTCAAGAATTTTATATACTTTTTTTTTGTATAATACCACATTGATATAAAGAATACTACATAGTAGATATTAATACTAACTTTTCAGTTCTTATAACTATTTTATTTTGAAGCTTATCTATATACCAATAAATCTTTCTTGAATTAAACTTTTTAATATCTAATACAATTAAATTTAAATTATAAATACTAAAAACATTTAATTAAAATATAGTATAAAGCTTTATAATTACTACTATATCATTATTATTAAGCAACTTAGTTTGACCACAGCAACCAACAAATAGATGCATAATATCTTTCTACTTATTATATATAGTATAATTTTTTTTACTATGGTTTTACTAATATATAATAGTTTTGATATCTTTTTTTTGTTGTACCGTTATAGTAAAGATAAATAATTCTCTACTTCAAGTCTTCACTAAGTAAAAGAGGCATATTTAAAAAGTTATAAGAATAATTGATCTAACAATCATAATTATAATCGTAATTACTATTACAATCACAATCATTTTACAAAAAAAATTAGTAATTATAGAGAGTTACAAAATTATACAAGAATATAAATAAATTAAACTCTTCCCATTAATCACTTGTATAAAAATTTTTCTAAAAAAACAACTCAATAAATATTCTATCTTTGCAATAATTTACTAAGACAGCATTATTTCTTGCTCTAACAAAACTTTCTCTATGTAGAAATTTATATATAATACTTAAATTTTAAAGAGATAGCTCTTAAACTCTTTAAACAACGGCTCTCCAGGCCAAATAAGCCTCTTTTGCCGTTTACGCAAAATCTAGATTCTAAACTTTATTACAAAGCATATTATAAGTTACTCTACACATTTTTCTCTTCAAAACAAGCTATAATAGACTCTTGTAGCCTTAAAACTGACTGAGTTACAAGCAAAACAATTTTCAACTCCGTTTACTTTCACCCCTCCCCTTTACTTTGGAAATTTTTCTAATTCCAAATAACTAGAGACGTTTTCCGTGTAACTAAGGCCACTCCAGCTATGCCACCCACATTCTACAATATTTAAAAAATATTAGTGCTTGTTAAATTACACTAAAATTGCCTCATTTTAATTAATATTGCACAATTTTAATAATTGCCTTTTTTGTAACTTTTATTT